AACCAAAATTTACTCATCAAATAATTACTACATTTACTTAGTGAGGTTTACTAGTATATGTGTGTGATTGTAATTAATATACGATTGCACGTATTACAGATGATATTGCATCAAGAAGATATTATAAAGTACCAAATTAAATAAGTAAATTCCCCTAAACTTGTTTTTGAACGAAAAAAAGAGAGGGGGTGGCCAGTAAATTCCACCAACTTAATGTGAATATTGAATATTTTCTACTTGTTACCATCTGCACATGCCCCAGTGGCCAGATCCCCACGTCACGCATTTATTTTTTTTTCCCTTTTTTGTCATGATGCGTCCATACGTACATTAGCTTTATGTACCTAAACCGATGTTTGTTTGATATTCGGATAATTTCATGCAATATATGCGTGTCTTTAATTCGTGAAGCCTTAAAATTGTTTTGTGTGGGTCCAATTACTTTCGTGGTGTGTTCGTCTTTTATGTGACAATTGCTTAAGATTATAGTTGCTTTGATCACGTGGTTAGTGGCAGACTGAGATTGTTTATCCAACATTATTATGAGATTTCTTTTTCTCCTAAAGCTGATACTCCTGGAGATTCCACATAAAACTCCCCTATGCCTCGGACCTTCTCTACTTTTTTTTCTTCTTCATTTTCGTCAAATCTTATATGGTTGATTTTGACCACTGTCAAAGCTGTTAAATGGACGATTCCAAGTGAAAGATCACATTAAATATTAAAGAAAAATATAATTTAAATTTAATTTAGAGACTTAATTAATTACATTTGTTTAATTAAAAGTAAACTTCATTCAACACTGAAACTAACAATTAATTCATTGGGTACATTGAATTATGTCCTTAAATTAGGACTAAAATATCCTCCAATACACATTTTCTCTATTTTTCTTCTTGACAAATCACCTACAAGATATTAGTGAGGGATTAACTTAAGAGCTTATATATAATTAGTCCTATTTGAATTAATAATACCTGATTTGTCAGAAAGAAAAATGAATAAAATGTGTATTTAAGTGCATCTCACTCCACCAAATTAGGTCCAATATTAAAGCAGCCGCTGCTGCTAAACTTCTCCAATCAAATGCAATTCGCAATTTCTTGTATATTAACAGTTAGAACGCTCCATTTTATGCTACTAGTGTAATGCAACAAAGTCATTTTCCCCTGCTCTAAATTCTTATGTTACTCTTATATGGTAACTTCATCCCACTTATGATCACCATGGCCGCAAACAAAACCTAACCTTCTGAACAGGCAACAACATTGCAAATTAACCATATCCACAATTGGGCAGACCCACACAAATTTTGTTCCCTGTCTCCAGCCTGGCTAAGAGCATAAGCTCCAAGAAGATCAGATCTGAGTTCGTCCTGGGAAAGTCTTGTGGATCCATTTGGCCAATGCCAGCAACTGCCTGACACAACCATGACCTTATTATTGAATGACCTCTGATCTACAATTGAGTTACCCTCACCGACACCGTAGCTATTACTCTTCCCACCACATGCCACATTTTATTTCTTACACCCAAGTGTGTACAAGAAAATCATTTTTTCCGTATGAACCATATCCATCTATCCGTATGCTAACCCTCTAATAAATTTACTTTCCCACCATTATAATTGATTCGGATGGCATTCCTTAAAGACTTCAAGGGGTATAGTATTAAATATAGCCTATTGCATTAAACCGTGACCTTGAATTTCATGGTCTTACCACTCTCTATCAAATATTTTTTACTTTTTTGCCAAGGGATGATATTGGAACCTGTTGAAGGGTAATACAACTCATAAAAGTCACTAGCTAATCAATAGTGGTTACATTACAATTTGAAAAAGAAAAAAATAGGATAGATCCTAGAATTTTATGATGCATATCAAGCATCCCCCTTTATTTTCTATTGTTGTCAATAGAATATCAAAAGTCACCGTCTGATTTTCTATTGATTGTCCGGTTAAATATATTTCATTTCTTGAACTGTTTTGTCTTAATAGAATCATAGATCCACGGCTTGATGATCGATGTGTAGTTTCCAAAATGTTAACATGCTACCAATGAGATTATGATAATGAAGTGTTTCAAATGTCAGGAGCATTCGCAATAGCACAGAAAGGAGGAAGTTGGGTTTCTTCTCATGTGTGACAGGAAATCCTATCGATGACTGCTGGCGCTGTGACCCCAATTGGCAACGCCACCGCAAACGCCTTGCTGACTGTGCCATTGGCTTTGGACGCAATGCCATAGGTGGCCGCGATGGCAGATACTATGTTGTCTCTGATCCAGGTGACGATGACCCGGTAAATCCCCGCCCTGGCACACTCCGTCATGCTGTTATCCAAGACAAGCCTCTATGGATTGTATTTAAACGTGACATGGTGATCACACTAAAGGAAGAGCTAATAATGAATAGTTTCAAGACAATTGACGCTCGTGGAACCAATGTCCACATTGCAAATGGAGCTTGCATCACAATTCAGTATATCACAAATGTGATTATTCACGGTCTCCACATCCATGATTGCAAGCCCACTGGCAATGCCATGGTACGAAGCTCGCCAACTCACTATGGTTGGAGGACAATAGCTGATGGTGATGGCATTTCCCTTTTTGGGGCAAGCCACATTTGGCTTGATCACAATTCTCTCTCTAACTGTGCTGATGGCCTTATCGATGCTATAATGGGATCAACTGCAATTACCATATCTAACAATTACTTCACCCACCACAATGAGGTCACTTAAATTTCTCTATTCATCAATTTACTCAGATTGATTGAATTACTCACCCAACACATATAATATTTTTCCATTTGCAAATCATAAACAGGTGATGCTATTAGGCCACAGTGATTCGTCTACAAGAGATAAGATTATGCAGGTGACCATTGCCTACAACCATTTTGGAGAGGGTCTCATCCAGAGAATGCCAAGGTAACATTCCCAAGTTATGTTGTTCTCATATGAGTTATATTATCATCACCAAGGCTATGGGTGACCAAGAAAGGCTATGGGTGGTGTTACAGTTTAATCTATTGGATGAAATTAATTGATTTGCAGGTGTAGGCATGGGTATTTCCATGTGGTGAACAATGACTATACTCACTGGGAAATGTATGCAATTGGTGGCAGTGCCGATCCCACAATTAATAGCCAGGGCAACCGATATCTTGCCCCTGTCGACCCTAACGCTAAAGAGGTACATGTTACACTAGTAAGGATAAATACCATAAATTACCCATTTAGACCTTAAAACATACAGGGTTAATGGCAATCCAGTCTTGATTTCAATTTGGCATGGCAGTAGTAAACCTCCATTCCATAAGTATGCAACAACAATATGAAACTAGTAGTACCCCTTTTTTAAAACTTACCGAAAAAAATTATACACTTTTTTTCCAAACAACGACATTCACATGAGAACAATACATCTACATTAAAGTCTAGAACTGATTAAAATAATGGAAAAATTTCATTCACACCCCTTAGGTCTAAATTCAATGATACATCTTCTCGATTTAAAATTTCACTATACTCCCTTCTAATTTATATTTTCAAATCAAAGATATTCATTTAATTGTAATTTTTAACTCTGTCCATACAAAAAAGTAACGATTTGATTATAAATCTTATGAAAATGTCAAAACTACAATTCCTTATGTAAATATACTAAAATGTCCTCAATACTTTTCCCATTATATATACCACACTTTTTGTTATTTGTGAAGGTCCAAAATGACCTGGGGTTGCTGGAAGACATAGGAGATTAAAGTCGACCATTATTTTTCAACTCGTTTTCTATAGTGATTGATCACTACCTAAGATGGTAAAAAAAAATATTATTTTTTCTTGCAGATTTGTAAATATTTTTCTTACAGATTTTTTTAAAAAAATTTCATGCAATTTTTTTTTTAATTTTTTCATGTAGATAGTTTTAAATTTTTTTCATGTAATTTTTTTTTTAAATTTTTTTCATCCAAAACACTTGTTAGACTTTTAAGTCATTAAGTCCATTTTCTTATAAGTTGTTGAGTAAGAGGTATACTTTTCGATTTCTTATTTTCTTATATTACCTAAATTTTCTCTGTGATATGTTTTTTGTTGTTTGTTATAAATTACAGGATTTTAAATTTATTTTATAGTTAAAAATAATTTTTCTATAATAAAATCGATAAAATCAATGTCAAAATTCCATCAATTTCTAACTTCTCTGCTATTGTCTGTACTCCACAACGTCACCTGACCACTTTTCATACATCAACCTTCATATATAAAATTTAAATATTATTTGATAAAATTTAATGTTAATTAAATAAATTTGGTCTTAATATGATAAATTTAAATATTAATTTGATAAAATTAAATATTAATTCAGTGTTGATTTGATAAAATTTAATGTTAATTTAATGAAATTAAATGTTCAATTGGTGTTACATTAAATAACTGACATTAATTTGATAAAGTTAAATGTTAAATTAATAGAATTTAATATGTTAAATTTTAATTTAATAAAATTAAATGTTAATTTGGTGTTAATTTGATGAAATTAAATAATAATTAATGTTAAATTAAAGAAATAATATTAATTTGATGAAATTAATATAACTAAATGCTAATTTGATAAAATTAAATAACAATTTGTGTTGATTTGATGAGATGAAATATTAATTTAGTTTAAATTAAATAAAGGACATTAATTTGATAAAATTAAATATTAAATTGATGAATCTAATTATTAATATCATAGAACAAAAAAAGAGTGCATTGAAATTTCAGAATCAGGAGGAGACATTGTTAAAGATAAGTCTATTTACAGGGTATTTTTATAAATTAACAATCGCCGTTAACATCGTAATCCGACAAACACTGACAGGGGGTCACTGTGAAATTTTAAAATCGAAATGATGTGTTATTGAATTTAGACTTAATTACAGGGGATGTGGATGAAATTTTTCCTAAAATAATTTATAGAGTAGTTAAAAACAATTGAAAGTTTGGGGACTACATAAAAACCTAGGGTGCAATTTGAAAGACCTTTATTATATATACCCTAATAATAGTGACCACTGTTTCCAACTGCATGTTTCTATCTTTTGCTATTTCTCGGTAAGGGCAATATGAAACTACGTGAATTATGGTGGAATGGTGTGGACAGGTGACAAAGAGAATAACTCCAGACACTGGCACATGGAAGAATTGGAATTGGAGATCAGAGGGCGACCTGATGTTGAACGGAGCGTACTTCACACCATCTGGGCGTGGGGCTGGGGCCAGCTATGCCAGGGCCTCAAGCTTAGGAGCCAAGTCCTCTTCCATGGTTGGCTCTATCACTTCTAGTGCCGGTGTTCTCTCCTGTCGCAGGGGCTCGCGCTGTTGATATCAATTTCATAGAGGAGGAAATGTTAAAAAATAACCAGTCCATTTTTCCACTCCAATTCTTCAAGTATTTCTGGCCAATTTACAACCAACTCTCTCTCTCTCTCTCTCTCCACTTCTTCTTTACGCCTGTCCCAATTAGTATTTGACTAGTATAAATCTTTCACGTGTCACTATGCAGTCAAACGACTCAAACCCTTTGTTATTATTACACTTGTCTCAATACCCATTGTTCAACCTCGGCCTGCTTCAACTCGGAAGTTTAAAATCTCTGAAGCAGGTGCGGAAGTGTTGTTCCTGTCTTTTTTCATGTTCTTCCTTCATCCCCTTACTTCAGTATGGAATGATCCTGTTCTCCTCTACCACTTTAAGCTCAATGGCTTTGTCTCAACATTAAATCTGTAGCTCATATGAGAAAAGGGGAGACCCTCTCTCTCTCTCTCAAGAAAAGAACAGAAAAGAAAGAAAGAAAGACAGAGCTTTATTTGCAATTGTTTCTGATACAGATAGTTACAAGACCCTGTTCTTATGTTCAAGTAATGTAATTGTGGTTGGCTACATTTCCCTCTTAGCTTGATTTTCTGTACTTCTCGTGGCTTATTCCTGAAACAAATCTAATGAGTTGTATGCATGCATAACTCAACAAGGAAAAAACTTAGGATGACACTGATATCACACCACAGGCATGTGAATACACATTCTAACTCATAAAGCATGCCATTTTTGTCCAACCTTTGTGTTCCAGGCTTACAATCCATGAAGAATGGGAATCAGACTTTAATGTGGTTGCATGCAGTTGCCACATACGGTTCACTAGAAGCTAGATAATCAGAATATTAGTCGTTTTTGCATTCTAATAAAAACTGTGAGACCACAAATAGACAATCATAAAAAGTATTTAGGGGATCAAAGGTGAACAAAGAGCATATTTCAAGGACTATCAATGTGTTTTACCCTATTCATAATTTACGTGACCAAATCTAGAAGTTCATGATTTTGCACAAAAAGGATGTTTCCCTTTTCTTCTGGATGCATATATCTAAAACGCCATATTCAAAATACAATTTCCCTCATATTTGGGAAAAACAACAGAAAAAGAAACTAGTCAAAGAAAAGATAGCGATCACCATTCAGCACCTGTCTCTCTATTAGGAGAAATTAATAGGCAGTAAGATAAATGTGACTCACAATTTGATGAAATCCTGAAAGAGATCTCAAAAGGGGGTACCACTTCCACTCCTAGTTTCAGCAGGACTGTACAAAGCAGATCTGTTCCGTGGTCTATTCTCCTCCAACTGCTTCACAACTTCATCCATGGTTGGCCTAACTGAAGCCACCGGTGCACAGCAACCCATTGCGAGCTTCAATGCATGTACTAACCCATCTTCCATCGGACTCCTTATCCCCTTCAAAAGCTCCACATCGAAAATCTCCATTGTTGTTTCCTCCAAAACAGCAACTTTCACTAGTGAAGGCAAATCAACAAAGTCACCGCTTCTCCCATTTTTCCCAGGCTTCTTCCCTAATAAAATCTCTAACAACAGTATCCCAAATGCATAAACATCTGTCCTGGAATTGCACTTATTCATTTTTTGCAGTTCTGGTGGCTTGTAACCATCCGCTTTTGCAAGCGCCACTATTTCATCGGCTACAGCTGGGATCATTAGCTTGTCAAGCCCAAACTCAGTGACTCTGGCCACGAAAAATTCATCTACAAGAACGTTTCTTGATCTCACATTTCCATGGGTAATAGGTGTTTCAAGACCTGTATGAAGAAATGCTAGTCCTCTGGCTATCCCCAAGGCAATCTTGTGTCGCCTAGCCCAATTCAATACTGGCTTCCCAGCCCTTGATTCTGTATCAACCAGCATTGGTAAATTACAAATGAGTTAGGTGTCCATCATTCACAATATAGCATCACCGACAAGTATTTTAACAAAATTTTAATCACTGCTCTTAAACACTGCAATGCATATATATGAATGTCATCAAGCATCAGTAAAGGCCTAACCTACATGCCTAATATCATCGGAATCCAAATCAAAACTGGGCCAAGTTGATTGAGTCCTTTCACTAAACAGATGCTGCAATTGTTGGTTTACTTAGGAGCTCCCTAACTTAAATTCTTTTGGTTATTTTCGGTTGTGACTTGCAACTTGCCCCACTCCATTGAAACACACTGGTGGTGACTGTTGTGATGGAGCTTTAGGGACCAATTTGAAACAGATGATCCAAAAAATGGGATAGTGACTTCCATTGGTTTAATAAGAGTGGTCTCTTGAGAGAATAACCATTTTATGTGACTTCTGAAAGTAAAAAAAAAAATCTGGAGGCCCACTTTTGCAGTGTGTTTGCCATGGGATGGGACCAAAATTTGTTAAGCCTTAAGTTCTGCATTTCTCAGGATTTTACTGAACCATCTTTCATGGAGTTTCTCCATTATTCATTTTGTTCTGTATCTTATGTTCTGGCTTGGATAATTTTGATGTGGGTCGTATGTGTACGGTAATGTGTACTACCATCCTAATTGGACTTCTCAAATTTGTATTCCTTTCCATATTTTACTGTCAATGCTGGAAATCATGTACTTTTAGTGTTTTCTGAAAGTTTCTCTCAATTTATGCTTTTGCTATACCCATTTCAAGTACTCAAAGATGAAAGTTTCTTGAGTTTTAGTTCCTCAGCAACAAGAGGTTTAGTTCCACAAAACTAATTGAGCTTGTCACATCCAGAATAAAGTTCTAACTTCATTTGCCATATGCACAAGCACACATAAATGTGTAAGTAGGTAGTGTGCGCGGGTGTATGTGTGTGTGTTGTTTTGATCAAGTAACATAGACTAAATAGGAAAGCTTTAAACTACACACTCACCATGTAAGAGGTCATGGAGGGTTCTGTTGGGAAGATAGTCATAAATGAACAGCTTCTCCCCTCTCTTCCCCTGATAGAAAGCTCTCAATGGAATCAAATTCTCATGGCGGACTCGGCCCAATTGCTTTATCACTGGTATACAAGGATTACTGTCCTTACAACTACCCTCTCTCAACAACCTCAAAGCAATGGTTCCTCCATCAGCTAGCTTTGCCTTATAAACCGTCCCATAACTCGTCTTCTCCATAACTTGCCCCGTTGCATTCAACACATCCTCCAAAGTCAAATGCTCGCCGCCTTGAAACAAAATTAGCTTCCCTTCACCACCACCACCACCACCACCTTCATCAATTTCTCCTTCCTCTCCTTCCTCCAATTCATCCTCCTCTTCATCCACATTCTTCCTTTTCTTTCCTTGTACATACCCAATTAACAATGACGCCAAAACCACTACTGCAGTCATCAAACCGATAACAAGACCAGCAATTGCACCAGAACTCAACCTAGAATTTCCACTACAACCCCTCAAAGGTGATCCACAAAGCCCAGGATTGTTTCCCTCAAAAACCTCCACACCATACTTAGTTTCACCAAAATTGGGTAAAACTCCAGTAAAATTATTGTGGGAAAGATTTAATTTCTCCAAATTTAGTGTGCATAAACTCTCTGGGATTGAACCCGAAAACATATTGTTCCCAAGATCAAGCTGTTTAAGACCCTGAAACCTAGAAATAAATTGCGGAAAAGTCCCCGAGAACATGTTGTGCCCAAGATCAAGAAACTGCAAATTCTTGCAAGTAGTATTAGGCAATGCAGGTTCAGGAAGAGAACCAGATAGAGAATTACCATGAAGCCTAAGTGAAACGAGTCGGTCACAGAGGTTCCAGATCGACGTAGGAACAGACCCATTGAGCAAATTGTTTCCCAAATCAATATCAGAGAGAGAAGAGCTGTACCCGAGCTCGAGAGGGATGGTTCCAGAGATTGTATTGACGCCAAGGTAAAGACTTTGGAGGGTCGAGAGTTCACCGAGCTCTCTTGGGAGCGTTCCAGAGAGATTAGCAGAGGGAAGTTCTAGAGATAGAAGGTGGAGAGATGGGTCTCTGGAGAGAGAAAGGTTGGTCCATTGTGGGGAAGAGAGGTCGTTGCAGAGGAGAGGAATGTTGCTTGTGAAGACCCATTTCAGACCTCTCCACTGACAAAGTGGTACTGATGTGTTCCATGAAGATAAGAGCAAGTTCTCTGTGTTACCCTGTAGTGATGGTTTGATCTTTTGCAAAATAAGCTCAACGTCTGAAGTAGAAGAAGATTGAGTGAGACCGTTGGGTGAGGATGAAAGGATGAGAAGGAAGGTTATGTAAAGAGATAAAAGCTTCAAGAACGCCATGGATGAAGCAAGGTAGAGAAAGGGGGAGTAGTGAGAGAAAAAGAAAGCTTGACAGAGAGTGGTGGGAAGTTCTTTGAGGTTTTCTCTTTCTCTTTTGGGAAAGCTGACAGAGTGTTGACTGTGAGTGTTCTCTCAGCCAATTAAATGTACTGTTATGCTTTGAAATGACACTATGTTTCAACAATCATACCCTCCTCCTTAATCTTACAAAAAATGGATGGTTGTTGGGGTTGTTAGATGTGGTCCAGTTATGGTAGTGCTAAATTACCCGTTTATACAATTATACTGCAACTCTAATTCTCAGCTAATGAAATTTTTAGACAAACCGCAATTGATTGGGATTAGATTATACAAAATTTATCTTTTATGAATATTTTAATTTTTACTTAAATAATTTATTTTTAATTGAATCAAAAAAGAGATATAATTAAAATACACGTAAATTAATTCAAACATTTTAATCCGTTAAACAAAAAAAACGAATTTCAACTCATGTGATTGTTAGATACCATTTAACCATTTCCCATATCCAAGACTGTTCCAACGGTACTATGAGCAGGACGGTATGGTCATATTCTACCATGGAGATTCTAAGTCTAGGGTACTCCTCATAAACAGCACAAACTCACCATACAAATTGCTTTCTATATTTAAAGTCTGCACGCTTGCCTTTGGAACTGCAGATTTTTTTAATTTTTTTTCTAAAGCTTTGGTTTCTTTGAGAAACAAAGAGAGGCTGCCCAGCAGGACGCCACCAAGAGTTGTCTATTCAATCTAAAAGTTTTTTAGGGATGGTGCATTTGACACTTGATGCTCTCTGGTTTTTCAACCCGACACGTGGCACTGATCTTTGACTTCAGTGTAAGAATTTGAAATCAATGGTTGGAGATGATGGGTGTACATTGGGTTTGATGGTCTTGGTATTCACTGGGTACTTTTTAGTGGGTCCATGTGTTCTTTGTGGGTCACACCCCAAAAGCAGAAGCCATGAAGAAAAGTTAAAGTTAAGGCTGTGTAGGGGAGAAGGTCCACAGGAGCCAAGACGTGAAGAAGAGAAGAGGGCCATGGGGGAACATGTGTTCGGAGATAGACTGAGAGGCCCTTTACTTGGTCTAGGATTCGTACAAGGTCACATAAGAGGTGTTTTATCTGTCAATCCAGCGGGTCTCCACCACCTTGTACAGATTATCACAATCATTTTCCTCTTGTCTGGATTAGTTTCATGGTTTTCTTCAAATATACGTATGATAAATTAAGGGATTTGTTTATGGTACTGGACCCAAAATAAAAATACGTAGGTATAATTTGGGAGAATTGCACTTTGCACCTTGAAAGGTTATAAGATTCTTATTTTGTACCATCAAAAATTAAAATTTTTATATTACACCCTTAGGGCTGTTTGTTTGAGGTATAAGAGTACTATAAGGGGATGATATAAGGAAAATAGTACATGGAATTTACCTTAAACCTTGTTTGTTTGACATTTTTTACTAGGTACTAATTTCTAGGTCATAGTACCGACCCAGTGTGAATAGTAACACTAATGCCTTCTACACGGTACTATTCAATATCACCTACCCGATGGTATAATATTCTTGATATAAATGAATGGAGGTATAATAAACTAAAAAGACCGAAATATCCTCAGGTATAATGCCCATATAAAAGTCTAGTTGCAATTTTTGACTTTTTAAGGTTAAAATTGTCTTTTTATATTGGTTAGTCGTAATTGTTAACTTTTTTAAGTAGGTATTACACAAATAATGTTTGTAATAAACAAACAAGAGGAAGGATGAGATTATAGTTTAATATCGGGTATAATATACTATTGGATCGGAGTGGAATGAATATAAAATCTTATACCACCTAAATCTTATACTCGAAATAAACGGCCCCTTAATGTATTAAAAATGTTTCAATATGACCCTTTCGTTAATTTTTCATTAATTTTTTTGTCAACATCAATGGATTCACTTTTGACAAAAAAAATAACGGAAACTAACAAAAGGGTCAATAACATTTTTAATATATTAAAGGTGCAATGTAAGAAATTTAATCTTTGAGTATACATAGTGAGAATCTTAAAATTTTTTAGGGTGTAAAGTGCAAAAAACCATTATAATTTTTTGAGTCATGTTACAATCCAAAAGATCAAGTCAAAAAAAAAAATCGATCTCAAATGACCCATTTTATGTAACTTTGGCAATTTCAGTATAAAACTTACAAAAAAAAAAAAACCTTTCGAGAGCCTAGTCGAAGACTAATTGAAATGTTACACATGATATTTGTACCCATAAATTTTGAAGAGCGTAGAGGGAAAAGGATAAGATTCCATATGTATCATTCAGTTACACCAGAAAATATTGTGAAGAAGCATGCCGGTCTAAAGAGAACTTTTGGGCTGTTCATGTGTCACCCAGTTCAGCATTCTGCATGAGTTCAATAATGATGTGAAATAGGAGCATGCATTTTGAAATAATCAGTTCAGTTTTGTTACCTTAACTTTGCCATCTAAAAACCATCAATTGTCACTCTAAAAGCACCACATAGCAGTGTGTTTTTCATTAATCATGCTTAGCATGGTGGGAACATGTTGATTGGTTTTCTTTAAGTTCTGTGCCTCCACCACTAGAATCTATTTGTTGCTGCCAGGAAGAAAATTTTGAAACCAGATTTTGCCGCTGCAAGGTTGCTTAATCGTACGGAGCAACCTCGGGGTGTAATTTAGGCGAGCCAATTCGAATTCAAGCCGACCCGACCCAACTCAAAAAAAATAAGATTTGTGTTAAAATTTTTAATACTTAGGTTGGACTTGGACAAAAGAACCCTTACCCGAATTGAATTCGGACAGATTTTGGGTTGATGCCTCTGGTTTCCGGGTTCAACCTGAACCCGACAAATTTTAAAAAAAAGTATATATATATATAAAGCATTAGCACTAGGGTTTTTCATTTTTATTCTTTACATCTCACATTGCCTTTCTCATTCTCATTCTCAGCCCTTCTCCATCTCTCAGGCTCTCTCTACTCTGTCTCGGCCTCGCTCTTACTCCCTCTGTGCCGAAAACCACAACAATGATCAGATTTAGACTTTTGCATCTCAGATTTGGTGGTTTTTGCATTTGAGATCTGGTGGAGATTTGGTGGTTATAGCATCAAAGACCACAACGATGGTCAGATTTGGTGACTGTGGTGTGGTGGTTGTGTGGGAATCTGTTATGGTGTGGTGGCTATGTGGGCAACGACATGGTGGCTGTGGTGGCGATGGGAAGTGGTTATGGTGGTAGTGACGTTGATTATGGGCAATGGTTGTGTTTAGATTTAACATAATTTAAATTCACTAACAAACACACACAATCGAAGAACAAATCAAGAATATAAAACAATAAGAAACAAGAAAGAACAAGACACAGATTTTACGTGATTCGGCAATTTGCCTACGTCCACGAAGCTGCAGAGATTTCACTATTGAGAGAGTTGAATACAGAGAGCGGCTGTACAATCCACGATTAACCCTAATCACCAAAACAACAGGGTTTATATGTCCTACGGACTGGGTTGTATAACGGGCTCAAAAATTTTCCTCGGGGCGTTGCCCCCGAACCCCCACGAGGCTTGTCCATGAACACTACGGCTTGGCCCTATCGGCCCAAGCTTTCGCTCCATGGACTAAGCCTCAAAAAAATTTTCATTAAAAAACCACACAACATTACTTCGGGTCGGGTCATTATCCCAGATCACATATACAAACTAGACTCCTTAAAAAAAAACCCAACAAGTTGTGGTGACAATGACAGTAGCTATGGGTAGTGGTTGTGGTGGCTATGGTATTTTGGATTTTTTGGTTTAATTTCTTTGTGTTGTGTTCTGATTGAGTTGCGTAATTTTTTTTATCTGATTTGTAATTCGAATTCAACCCGAACTCGCCCGAATTCAACTTAGACAATACTCGGATTGAAGTCAGGCTCGGGCTCAGGTTAAAGATTATATATGTAACGTTGGACTAGGATTAACCCTTCAACCTATCCAACCCGCCTGAGTTACACCCGTATCTAGAAGGCACATGAGTTCGAACACTATGTTGAATGTATGACCGACATTACGTAGCTACTTGTGCAGGTGAGACGTCGGTCAGTCCTAAAAATGACAACAGCGACGCGAGTTAAACGATGAGGCATGCTACAACCTAGGGATCACCAAACAACTATTTCGCTCTACAGGGATCGGAAAGGGAATATCACAATTCATGTTAGAGGAGGGTTGGTTTGCCCGGGTGACTAATCCCTCCATAATGTACTCCTACCTACAGCACTGCCAACCAAAACCAAGCATATATACGAAGATCTTTATGCGTGAATAGCCAAGAGGAAAGAAAGGGCTATAAAGTCATGAAAGTTGTCACATGTTTATCTGATAACTCAGAGGGATCACACATTCAAGACACAGATATATACTTTACAGGTCTGGCTTTTTTCCAATTGCGCATGATCCATGGAAAACATCAGCAATCCCTACCCACACTAGTCCATAACTTGAGCTCCCTTCTGACCCCTATCTTTGCAGTGGAGTTTAGCAGTACATGGATATTCAGATTATGCCTTAAAATTATCTGGATCTAGATATTTCTTTAAATATTCACATTTGGTATGCCTTTGCTCAGTCAAACCATAAATCTCGTTATACATTCAGCTTTAGTAAAGATTATTGCTCAATACAAACTATAGAATCGAGCCTACCCACAACATTACCCAGTGACTCTTTCTTGAAGCTTTACAAGACTCGTACACAAATCTCATGCGTTTTAAGCAGCAAAAAGGTGCAATACTAAGAAGAAAGATTTATCAATCCATGACAGAAGAATTTCATTCATTTTATGTCAGAGCAAACCCAAAACCTTACTGCTGAAAGAAACAACATATGGGGAAGAGGTTGATTGAATACCAGTGACACTGCTTCTGCTCTAGTTATTTGTACTTTTCCATTATTCTTCTCGCTTCTTCCAGCGAGTCTTCTGTAGAAGTAGTACTGGTACCTCCACCCCCTCTTGGGCCTTCATCCTTATTAATGGCTATGAATGTGAAATATATGAGTCCCATCACAGCCTGTTTATCAAATAGAAAGCTCAAAGTTAAAACTGTAGAAATTGAAAGAGGTAAATCATATATGGATTTGTGAGTGAGAGGAATTAGTGAAGATAAACTGGAGAACAAACAATCCATCAGCCATAGGATTTCACTTATTTCACTTATTCCCCAGATAATTAAAACAAAAGAAGACAAATAGAATAAATCTATTCATTCTCTTAGCCATGCACCTCTTGACCCAAAAAATTACAAAAATGACTAGTAGTCCTAGAAACCTAAACATCTTATTATTCACAATAATTTTCTTCTTGACAGTATCTATCAAAGCGTCATCAACATCAAGTGTTAGATCTCTCAATAACAAAGGAAAAAAACAAATGGCAGCCACTATATCAAGTTAGACTTATGATATGGCACACAACAATAAAGTCACAATGGCAGTCATGCATCATCAATCCTCCAAGATGGAAAGATATAGAAACCTTACCGACACAAAGAAAGCTGTTGATAGGAATGACTTCAGGACAAACAATGCAAGTGTCACTGCAGCTATAGTTACAGAAATCCTTGCTATTGGTCTTGGAATAGGATCCTAACATCCAAAAAAGAGCAGACAGCTATAGAATTTGGGCATAATGAAATATGTAAGCTACCTTTAATCAAAAAAAGACATATCAAACGAAACTTACAGGCACCAAATTCGTTCCTGCTTCAATACCATCCTTCCCAACATTCCATACCGTTTGAAGAACTATTTCACAACATTTGACATTAAAGTTACCTCCACATGATTGAAAAGAAACTACACTAAAATTTTTGTATCAAGTAAGTGGGGCTGCAGCAATTACATGCTGTGGCGGTAAGCTAGCTTAACAGCTGATTTACTAATGAATGTCCCAAAATGAACAGTGCGTTGGCATTGTAAATTTTTTGAGAAATGTCATGCTTGATTAAAACACAAGGGACCAATCTTGTTACAGTTTCTCATTAATGGTGGTTTTGTCTACTTCTAGCAAATAAAATAACAAGTGCATCTTGTACCCCGGACAGTTTCTGATGTTCGTTTCTCATACTTTAACCTAATACCATGGTATAGTTCAAACATCAAACACTAATAGCATTCCTCATGCATACAATGTCAATCTTCCATTTTGAACAAATTGACAACATTGGATTAACTTCCACCTGAAATGATTGCAACTAGCCAATAAAAGGTTTAAATGAGTACCATAACTTAACCAAAATTTATATATATATATATATCTCTGCAATTACATTTGAGTCATCCAACTCATCTTTAAATTTTCATTTGATTCATATTAGAAATCATTTGTAAGTTTTAGTTGTACCCGGTCACCCAACCTTAATCCAGAACCTCAAGAGCACGTAAGCCTTTCTTTGTCCCGAGAGTAAGTCCAGTTGTGGCAGATAAGGGATTTTAGGCGAGAAGTTGAGAGAACTTGGAGCCAGATTAGGGGATATGTATCGTGTAGTTGAAACTTACCTGTTATTTCTAATTTGATAAAATTTAAATTTAAAATATGAGTAGATTTCTTAGATCTAATTCTAGGGCTAGTACATCTAGATCTTCAGATTATTCTATACCACATAGAGTTAATGAAGAAGAACTAGAAGTAGAAGAATCTAAGGCAGACTGGAAAAAATGGAACATTCCTCCGGTTAAGGAAAAATGTATTTACAGCACAACTTGGGTTCAAAAAACCTTTAGTAAAGAACACCAAATTAAAACTGTTGAACAGGTACATCCCCTCAAAAAAGAGGATGATATCTGTGAACTCCTCAGTAAGGAGACCCTTAAGAAACACAAGGCCAAAGGATTTAATTTTATTCACATAGGTCTTGTCCAAGTGGTCATTAAACCACTTATTACCCAAGGCAGAAATGCTGCTGCCTTATTAGTTCTCAGAGACGCAAGGTTTCTTGATTGGGAACCTGGTGTCTTGGGAATCATGGAAACAAGACTCCACCGAGGTCCAGTTTACTTTAATTGTTTCCCTGACTTTACCTTAGATCTACACTGCCCTAACACACACATGGCTTTGACTCTTGGTATCCGTCTCACAGGCAATATTACCAGATTAGTCAAAACACTAGTTCATAGTACTCATCTATAGGATTTACTACAAGTGCATTCGTACCAATTTTAATGTACAATGTCTTGATCCAAGTCCTAAAGGTAGCACTATGTTAATCCAAGCTAGTTCTGAACAAACTAACATCCAGATTCCAAAACAGATACTTTAGAAAGATGTTACTTTGCCTGAATCTTGGATTATGCAAAATGAAAATTATAATAAAGAAGCTGAATCCGTGTCAACTACAACTGATCTGGAGACTATTCAACAACTCCCAGATAGATCAGTTAAAATATCTTTTGACTCTGCAAGGTCCAATAGATCCAACAAATTTAATGATCGATCAGCACAGATCTTGGAAGGAAGAAGATCTGATTTTTCTTCTGTTTCCCATAGAGACAGAGAAATTGCTAAAGAACTTGACCATAGGTTAAAAGGAATAGCAAGCTCCTCTGAACCTGTTGTTAGACCAGTATACACTCCCCTCAGTGTACCTTTACAGTCTAGATATACAGAATTTAAAAGACAGAAAATGATGAATTTTCACCTTCTCTATCACCCACTGCTAGTGCATTTGATGGAAACCTTAATCATAACAAGGTTCATCAATTATACACTATCAATAAGGAAAAAGAATTCTTTATGCCTGACATTTACAAATTAAAAAAGGATTTCAAAGCTGTAGAATTTAAACCTCTCAGAAAAGCTTTTGAATCTTTACCTTGTAAAACCCAAGAAACCATCAAAAAAGAATGGGTAAAATTAATGTATCAATTAGAATCCGAAATAGCTTTTGAAGACTATCTAGAAAACTTCCATAAAGAAGTAAAGATAGTAACTAAGCAAAAATGGAAAACAGATTCTGATGTTTTAATTTCTAGTCACCCTCCGGTAGAGACTATTCAAATTAAACATTTAACCGAAACTGTTAAGGCTACACCTTTTAAGATTCCAATGTTAGAATCTGAAAAGAAAGTAGTTGAACAAGTAAATTTTACCAACCAAAACCTAATTATTATAGGAAAACAGTTGGATAAAATTGAAACTAAAATAGATAATCTCAAAACGGAACAGGTAGAAAGACCATTAGTTAGTCTCCCTGAAAATAGAAAGAATTTAGGTTTAAAAGATAAAAACCTAATTCAACAAATTGATGCACTCATCTCAAAAAAGGAATCTACTAGTACTTCTCAAGTAATAGTCATCAACCAAACTGAAGAAAGTTCAGAATACAGTAGTCTGGAAGATACCAATGACTCTGATTCTGAAATTGAAAACTTGGAAAAACAGTTTGCAGATCACAGCATGACCCAATCTATTTCCAAGCTCAATGCTTTAGTTAGGCTCCCTACTAATTCCACTAAGAATTGGTATCCTAGACCTACACCACCAGATTTTCAATATGAAGAAAAAAATGTATTAAATCAATTTTCTGTTGAGTCCAATAAACTCTATGAATGGAACATAGATGGATTAAGTGAACAGGAAATCATTAACAAAGTTAGTCATCTGTCTATGGTGATTAATAATTATATGACCAATCTTGACAGCCCTGAACCTGATATTGTTAAACTAATAACCTCAGGATTTACAGGTGTTTTACGAGATTGGTGGGATAATTATCTCACCTCAGACCAAAAGGAAAGTGTTATTTATGCTATACTTAGAGATGATGAAGGTAATCCAATTTTTGATGAAAGGATTGGATTGGCTAAACCTGATGGATGTAATACTCTTATATTCACCATCATTAAACACTTTGTAGGAACACCTAGTAGCATTACTGCTAGGATCCACGACCAACTTACCAACCTAAGATGTCCCACTTTAAGTGACTTTAGGTGGTATAAGGATGTTTTTGTTTCGCGTGTCATGGTTCAACCAGATTGCCAGAAAGTATTCTGGAAAGAAAAATTTGTTAATGGACTACCCAATCTTTTTGCCCATAAGGTAAGAGAAGCCCTTAGCAAAGACACTGGAATTATTGAATATGATAATCTTGCTTATGGAGAACTCATTAGCACCATCCAAAGTGTAGGATTAAAATGGTGTATTGATCTGAGGATTAATAAGCAATTAACAAATGAGAAGCAAAAAGCCAAATATGAATTAGGTAATTTTTGTGAACAGTATGGACTACAGCCAGTAGCTCCTTCCCAATCTAAACCTCACAAAAAACCTAAAAATCACAGCACTTATTCAAAAAATAGGTTTTATCAAAAACACAAGAAGTCTTTTTCTAAACCTAAAACTGAGATTTCTAATAAGTCCAAAAAGCATTATCGGCCTAAACCTTATAAGAAATCAGCAAAGGGAAAAGGAAAAGCACAAGAAGATATTAAATGTTTTAATTGTGACAAACCAGGCCATATTAGTCCTGATTGTCCAATTAAAAAACAGGTTAAAAGATTAAATTTATCTCAAGAAGATGAGAATAAAATTCTGGAAATCTTTAGAATAAATAATTTAGACAGTTCTGAAGAATCCGAAAGTCCAGTAGAGCCATCAGATTCTTCTGACTACCATTCCGCATCTGATCACCCTCATGTCCAATTAGGATGTGCTTGTCATAAACAAGTTCGGGTAATCACTAAACAAAATGAAGAACACATGCTTATACATCTAATCTCCAAGATAGAGGATCCAGATCTAAAAGAAAAGTATGTTAAACAACTTAGGAATTTGTTTAAAAAGGACAGTAAACAACCTGTTCCTGAAAAACAAATTGTGAGTCTTAACAAAACTATGGAAAGATTCAGTAAGGAAAAGAAAAAAGAAATTACCTTACAAGATCTCCAAAGTGAAGTTAATAAACTCAAAATAGAAATAAAAGAATTAAAAGCTCAAGACAAGAAATTTGCAGAAGCTTTAAGTCTTTTACAAACAGAAAAACAATCTGAAAAATCTCAGGATTCTGATCCAGAAGATCAGACTGAAAATTTCACTACTCCTTTTGATCATCAACGCTATACACAGGGGATACCAGTAACCTCCTCCTTTCAGATGGAAACTTCTGGTGTAACGAACCTGCCTTCATTCCATGAAGTAAGCACTAATGATGATAAAAGAATTAGCCTAATTAATTCTCTAATTGTCCAAAAATGGCATGTTGAAGTGAAAATAGTCATCAATAATAACTTTGAACTTAACATTATTGCACTTATTGATACAGGTGCAGATGTTAACTGTATCCAAGAAGGACTGGTTCCAACCATATTTTATGAAAAAACAATGGAAAGAATTAGTTCTGCCAATAGTAGTAAAATGAATGTTAAATACAAACTTCCTAAGGTGCATATCTGCCAACAAGATGTTTGTTTTAAGACATCATTTATTTTGGTTAAAGACATAACAGATGCAGTCATTCTTGGTTTACCATTCGTATATCTGTTGTACCCTTTTAGTACAAATACGGATGGACTGACAACCAAGCCCTTTGGACAAAAGGTTGTATTCCCTTTCATTACCAAACCAAAAAGAAAACAATTGAGGCAACTAAAAGACGTTTCAGTCTCTAAGTCCCTTAATGTTATTCATAATAAAATTAAACAAGTGGAATTTCTTAAGAAAGAGATTAACCACATCCGAATTAAAGATCACCTAACCAACCCAATCTTACAACAAAAGATTGAAAAGTTTAGAGAAAAATTAGAAGCGGAAGTCTGTTCATCCTTTCCTACAGCATTCTGGCATAGGAATAAACATGTGGTTAGACTTCCATATGTCAAAGGTTTTAGTGAGGACAATATCCCGACTAAATCCAGACCAATCCAAATGAACCATGAAACTATGGAAATCTGTAAAAAAGAGATTTCTGAGTTATTAAAAAATGGTATCATTCGAAAAAGTAAGTCGCCCTGATCTTACCCAGCTTTCTATGTCGTTAAAAATGCAGAATTAGAAAGAGGAGTGCCAAGGCTTGTTATCAATTATAAACCTTTATCTTCATTATTATATATATATATATATATATATATATATATATATATATATATATATATATATATATATATATATAAAATTTCCCTTTAGGAGGGTTTTTTTTTTGTTTTAATGTTATAGACATTTACAAGACACGAGCACAAACTCTAAATTACATGCGACCACGAGACAGTGTATCATTAGGGGACATGAAATCTTGTGCCATTCATTCCTGGAGGCACACCCAACTTACTATTAGAGCAATTTTCAACTTGATACTTTCACAGAATACTGAAATCAAAACGCAATTAAGCCACATAGTTATTGAAAAACTAAACCAATTTCTAATAAATGTTCATAGCAGCACATGTTTTCCAACCAAAACAAAATTTTCCTTCCCCATTAAAGCCAATTCAATACCATTCATAAGCAATCAATATCTTATAAAACCAAGAAAAAAGTGAAAATTAATAGCAATCAAACAAATGTATAGAGCGAATTCAGAAGACCTAGAGGTAACGACAAATACCTTTTAAGAAATTGGATTGGACGGCGAAGACGACAGGCGCGGCGTGAGTTTTGCGTCTTTTGAGCTTATGGGTTGGGATAGTTGAGAGCAGAGACTGCTTCTTCAACCTTAAAAGGGATTTAGAGGAGAAAATCAGAGAAGAGTTGAGCGGTAGGTTACGGTTTCTGTAACATTTAGCAGAGCAAGCTGAAACAGAGAAGAAGATATTATGAAGAACAACGGTGGAAGCCATGTATGGATATATATTAAGATAATATGAAATTTAAAACGAGTGGAATCAGAAATTAGAGTGTGTTTGTGTGGAGGATGTACATTTGTACAGACTTCTGTGATCGTGAAGTTCTCTTGTTCGAAAAAGAAAGAGAGAAGCCAAGAACCGAGGGATGAACAATGGATTGGGCCAAAACCCATGAAAAGAACACGATTGGATATTATTAGGGCCCTTAATCCGGTCAAGTTACTTAAGGACAACGCAGATTTGACTGGACTTGTATGGCCGTTACTCGAGTTCGATTCATTTTTTAAAAATTAATTGAGTTTACATAATTTTTTAAGTTATTTTAAAAAAATAACTTAAAAAATTCAATTCGAACTCATAAAATTTGACTCATTTTAGACTCAGTCTCAAACTTACCTGCTTGAAAAAAACGAGCTAAATTTAAACAATTTTTTTAATTCATTTAAAAAAATGAGTTTGACAACCTCGACTCAAACTTATAAAACTTATCTCCATTCTCAGTTTCAGACATAATAGTAAACCAGAGTGCACAGACCATAGTTTAACTTCTTACTGTAATTTTTGTTTTTTGTTTTTTATTTTTTTGTCTTTACCCACACCGAGCCTTGGGATAGGAGAAAGACAACCTTAAGAGGTTTGCAATTTGAGGATCTATGGAAACTAAAATTAGGGTTTTAAATAGGATTTTGTAGAACTGTATCAAAAAATTATGAGTAATGATATGTATACTAAATTTGTAACTCAAATTTACATCTCAAATCAAGGAGAATCATTTGAGATACACAGTACTACAAAAATTATTTATAATACAATCCTTTCATTGAGCGAATCGAGTCAAGTAGTTAAATCCTACTAGTCTACTAATATCAATAAAAAAGCCATTTTTTTTTGGTCAGGATTAAAAAAAAAAAAAAAAGCCATTGGGAAGTTAATAAATTTGCAAGAGTTCATTTCATTTACCCAAAAAAAAAAGGAAAAATATGAGGTGGATTCAATGGAAGAAAAAATTCTTTAGGGTTTTTGTCAAAACAAAACAACGTGTAGAGTAGATTCCCTGGTTGGAGGTTCCCAAGGTCATGTCCTAGAACTCTGGGCTCTGCTATGCACCTATTCTGGTTCCATATTTTTGGAATTAATTTTTATTTATATATATATTTTTTACCAAAATAACATAATTTCAATTATATTATCAATATATTGTTGAATTTATGAAAACTTGTTTCCAAAATACACTTTCAATGTAAAAAAAAATAAAAATAACAGCACTAAATATTTTAAAAACACGTTTTCGTAAAAATAATAATTGTTTGGTAAGATGGGTAAAAATAAAATGATTTTTAGTAAAAATTATATTCGAACAAAGTCATATATTACTTGAATTTGACTCATTTTGAAAACGAGTTTAAAAATTCGATTTGATATTGCTCATTTTGCAGTATGAACAAGCAAAAATTAGCCAACATCCATTAGAGGCCGAATTATTCGAATCGTTTAACAACCTATATGATCTAAGTCTACTTCTTAAGATAAATGTGTTTACTTTTTCTAGCAAAACGGTGTTTAAAGTGGAAAAAAAGAGTTAATTTTGTGAGCTTGAATAGTATATCCTTTCATTAATTTTTTTTTCTTTTTTTGATAAGTAATAATTCATTAGTTTTTTTTTTGTTTAATGGTTTAAGGTGTTCGGGCCAGCTTACACACACCTCGACAAATATCCCCTTTGGTCCGACCAAGACAAGTCATCTACGTCAGAACTAGGGTATTTATAAGCTTGATTAATCTCCTCCCAGATCCGATCAAATGCAAGTCATTCACGCCAAGACTAAAATATTCATGAGAGATAAATTTCTCATAATTTGACATTAAAAAATTGTCAGAATTTAAACTCAAAACGTTTATATTTACATTCGTCTCTATTATAACCGGAGATACTCCTTGGAGTTATTCGTTCTTTAGTCTTAATTCCATTAAATTACGCAAAAAGGGGGCTAGTGTAGTCAAGGCTATGGTAGAAAATGAATTGATACACCACATGGTTTAGCCTTAAAAGCTGGAATGATGTTTTAATTATCAGTATTCTATTTACTCCCTACAAATCCGTCTTTAGCTTAAAGGGAAGGTCTAGAGAGGTCCAAACATATCTCCCTGGCACACCTTGACTTAGTTGTTTGAGCTTTTAACTTGGTGAATTATTTTGTTGCAAATTAATGTTTCTATTTCATATAGCCAAAACCAAATGATCACTCTAAAACAATACAAAAATTACGAGTTTGAATTACTGAAACAAAGTTTATAATTAGGGTAAGATAATGAAAATTTGACCATCCCTAAACTTTGTAATAACAAATTCGAGTATTAGATTGTCAAAGATAGAAACTAGTGTAATATGAATTTAACTTGTTTATAATATCTATGTTTACCAATCGGTCAATATAACAATTAACATACTGTTGAAGTTCAAACAGAGCAGGACAATGGACGGTGCCATTTGTTTTGTGTAATAAGCCATTTTTTTTTCATATGCATGAGGCTAAACATCGGCAGACTAAATTAATCTGAACAGGAGGCTCAACACAAAATTGGCCTTATTCATCTTCTCTTCTATGGAGGATCAGCGGTGGCCAAATAGCTCTACAGCCCGCCGTTGGACTGTTAAGTCGCGAATTCAAACCTTATCGACCCCCTTCCCACTAGAAGTTACAAACAGTAACCAAAAAAAAAACTTCTCTTCTATGAATTTTTTAATAGCCTCATTAGTTTTCTAAGATTTTTTTTTCTTTTTCCTTGATTTTGTTTCCATGGAAAAAAAAAAAAAAAAAAAACATAGATATGTGTGCGTGCAGGATCTTGCACAATATAAAAAACGAGAACAGATCTCTCCCTTGGTGAACTCGAGTGAGTCAGTTGAGTGGTCAACCACACTGCTTGGGACAACCTGTGAGGTCTGGTGATAACCAGAAACGGTAACGGGAGACCCTCGTGGATTGAAGGAACGATCCAATAAGGCTGGAGAAAAGTTCCTAGAACAAAGAAGGACAAGTTAGAAGGGCGCCAGAGTGTTTTCCGGCTTATCCCCTCTGACGATCAAGTCAGTTTTTGAAAGGGAGAGGAAGAAGAAAGCACTGAGTATATTTCGTAGTAAAGAGTTTTTGTTGCCTACTGTCTTGCCTTTTACGAGGAGTATTTATACCTCAAAAGCTCATGATTGCTGTCAGTGTTGTCAGTAAGTGATCATTAGGTATAGGCAGTGTGCGCACTGATTCTGATGAGGAATGTCTTCTCTTCTTTAACTGATCGGAGTCCCGAGCAATCAATGCTGTGTCATCGGGCTGCCGACTGTCCAATGAGCTCCACTCGGGGAGGATGCAATAAATGTCCAGCCTTAGAGACATTTATTGCCTTTCAATTCCGAGCCTTACCGCATTGAATGAGGTCTCATCAAAGGAATGGTGTAATTAAATATTTGTTTTTCCAAGTCGCGTGTCAGCAAGGGCATGCGGTCTTTCTGTCTCTGATGTGACACAATTTGTCACGCTTCCATTCCTCATTAGCTGTGGACCCTGCCTTCCTTTGCTTTTTAACACCAATTGTGTAAGACGAGACCATGATAGCTAACCTAGACTAGCCTAGGCTAATGACCTGTACATCAATAACTTATACTGGAGCAGAGAAAAGGCATCCTGGACGGGGGTACATCTCGGTACCGAGGAGAGGTATATCTCGAGCCGAGGGGAGCTGTACATGAAGACCGAGGTACCTCATCAGACCGAGGGATATGTGTCGGTTCGTAAAACGTACTTGACCATGTGTCAAGTACCTCGGGGGCGAGGGAGTTGTAAGTCGATGGTACGTGATCTTAGTAACAGGATTTTTAATGACGCCGAGGACACGTGTCTTCATCTTGGAGTATTTCAGAAAAGTCCCATCAATATGTATAAACATAACTAAGTGCTACGAAAACAAAAGAAACCCATGTCCCAAAAATTCAATGTTTCAAAGAATGGTCTGTGTTTAAGGAGTTTTATGGATGGAAAATGCTCATGGAAACATGTTTTTTCTAGAAAATTTCATTTTCCAGTAAATCATCTAAAATATTTATTTGGAATTCCAAGGAATGGGTTTTCAATCATCAATAACAAGAGCCACTGCTAGAATTGACTGTATTGAGGAAAACAATGCAAGAACACATGGTGTAACTGCTATTCAAAATATAATAGGAGAAAACAAAGAGCACAGAACAGAACCCCGAGGTAAAAGATGGAGGTGCAGGTAGAGGTGGGTGCTAATCTTTAATAATTGTTACCTCTTTCTTGTCTCTTCTTTTCTTGCTTGCCTGCAAAGCTAGGGAGTAGTAGTATTATTAGACTAATTTCATTAGCAGCAAAACAAGAGTGAGTGCAAGAAAAACTACGGAGAAAGAGGGAGACCCAATGCAAACCCAAGAAGAGTGTTCTGGGATTTGAGGCCAATGCAAATGCCGATGCCGAGGCAATCCTTGAACAACAAAAACCACCACCGCCACCTTCTCCACCACTGTCTCCTCCTATTGCTTACACTTGTAACAAGTGTTGTTTCATCAGCAAATAATGAAGTTCTTGTCCTTCTCTCATGGCTTCACAGTTCTCCTTCACCACATTCTTCATTTTCAAACTGGAACCCATCAGACCCCAACCCTTGTAAATGGTCCTACCTTACATGTTCCCCTGAAAACTTTGTCATCCAAATCAATATTCAGTCCATTGAGCTTGCTCTTCCATTCCCATCCAACCTTTCATCTCTTAACTACCTTCAAAGCCTCACTATTTCTGGAGCCAATCTCACTGGAACCATTCCATTAGACATCGGAGACAGCACCTCACTTACAGCCATTGATGTCAGTTCAAACAGTCTTATGGGCAGTATTCCAACAAGCATTGGAAAGCTTCAAAACCTCCAGGACTTGACATTGAACTCGAACCAGTTTACTGGGAAAATCCCAGCAGAGCTTGGTAATTGCATTAGCCTTATATATCTCATTCTATTCGATAATCAGTTCAGTGGGGATCTTCCAGCTGAACTAGGCAAACTTTCGAATTTGGAGGTTATACGAGCTGGAGGGAACAAAAATATTTCTGGGAAGATTCCAGATGAGCTTGGAAACTGCCAGAATTTGAAGGTAGTAGGTCTTGCTGATACTAAAAATTTCTGGTGCTATTCCTGCGTCATTGGGTAAATTAAGCAAGCTTGAAACTTTGTCAGTTTTATACTACAATGTTATCGGGTGAAATACCCCCAGATTTAGGAAACTGTTCTGGGCTTGTCGACGTGTATTTGTATGAGAATAGTCTCTCAGGTTCACTTCCACCAGAGTTAGGCAAGCTGCAGAAGCTAGTGAAGATGTTACTATGGCAAAACAATCTCGTTGGGACTATTCCTGAGGAAATTGGTAATTGCAGAAGCCTGAGGATTATGATGTATCATTGAATTTTATCTCAGGAAGCATACCTGGGTCCTTTGGAAACCTCACACAGCTTGAAGAGTTGATGATTAGTAACAATAACATCTCTGGGTCAATCCCACCAGTACTTTCCAATGCCACAAACCTGTTGCAGTTGCAGGTAGATACCAATCAGATATCGGGCTCCATTCCACAAGAGCTTGGGATGTTGACAGAGCTAACAGTCTTCTTTGCCTGGGAGAACAAACTTGAGGGAAGCATTCCATCAGCATTGGCTGGTTGCAGAAGCCTCCAAGCTCTTGATTTATCACACAATTCCCTTACAGGTAGCTTACCTCCTGGCCTATTTCAGCTTCAAAATATAACAAAGCTTCTCTTGATTTCCAATGGCATTTCGGGTCCCATACCCCGAGAGGTGGGCAACTGTAGCTCTCTTATTCGGCTCCGAATTGTAGATAATAAAATTAGTGGACGAATTCCAAACGAAATAGGGCATTTAGACAACCTCAGTTTTCTTGATCTCTCCAATAACAATCTCAATGGATCAGTGCCAGATGAGGTTGGCAATTGCACAGAACTGCAAATGCTGAACCTGAGTAATAATACATTTGGAGACACCTTGCCAGGCTCTCTATCTTCACTCAATAAGCTCCAAGTAATGGAGTTTTCTGGGAACAGGTTTGTGGGTCAGATTTTCAGTAAGTTATGGCCAACTTTACTTCCTTAAATAGACTCCTACTTGGTAGAAA